TTTCCCGTGCATGTGCTTGCATGTGTGTATGTAGTTGCGTGTATGCATATGGCTACTCACACACACACACACACACCACACACAACACACACACACACCACACACAACACACACACACACACACACACACACACAACACACACACATACACACACACACATACACACACACACACACACACACACACACACACACACACACACACACACACACACACACAACACACACACACATACACACACACACAAACCCTCTCACACACCAAGATGCCACTTGACCCAGGCCTGGTCCTCAGCCGTGTCCCTCCCCCACCAGGCAGCGTGTTGGTGCACGAGTGGGCCAAGTACCGATGGGGCGTCTTCGAGGAATACGGACACAGGGCCGACCCGATCTTCCCTTCCGCCACCAAGTCGTACGATGCTAACGAGACACTCAGACACACCTACTGCACGGACGGCGAAGTGAAGGGGAATTTTTAGTAAGTCTTTTTTTTTTTTTTGCAGACGATTTTCTGATATTTAAGATGAATGTGGTATGGGATTTGAGTTGACATTTGAGTTAAATGTGGCATTAGTATTGGTATCAGTTAATATCAAGACACGATTGTTGAATAGTCTTCGGCAAAGATATTGTTTTATACTTCATTGTCAGCCAATATGATCATTTTCATACACATCCATTACAAACCGTTTTGTAATTTTATGGGTATTAAACAGCCAAGTTACCGTGTATATCTTAAAAGATTGTTAAGACTTTAGAGAGAGAGAGAGAGAGAGAGAGAGAGTGAGAGAGAGAGAGAGAGTGAGAGAGAGAGAGAGAGAGAGAGAGAGAGAGAGAGAGAGAGAGAGAGAGAGAGAGAGAGAGAGAGAGAGAGAGAGAGAGAGAGAGAGAAGGAGAGCAACGTTTTTTAGGATGTTGCTACAAATGAACCTAGCGATGAATCCGACATGAACAATAATTTATGTGAATAATGCTATTTATAAAATCTTCCCACAGTCAGTGTGACGGAGATAACCTCGATTCCTGTTACTTCGTGCCCAGCGCAGACGAGACAACAGGAGTAACCTCTTCTCTCCTTGCCACTCCTTTCCTAAGTTCCGTAAGTGTCTGTAATTGTCTGTTCAATTCAGTTCTTCTGTGTAACGACGGACTACAATGCTCAGCAAAAATAGAGACAAACTGAATACCGCAGTGAATTTTGTTATCATCTGTTGATGTGCAACCACTTAACGACAACAGTTACGTACATCCTCATGTTAACAATTATGTACATATTTTCAGCAGATTTTTTTGAGACTGATAAAAAACTGTTACTTTATGTCGTCAGCCATCTTAGTTTATATACAAATCCTTCTTATCCAACTAAGTCTGCTCTCAGGAGGTCCGAGAGAGAGAGAGAGAGAGAGAGAGAGAGAGAGAGAGAGAGAGAGAGAGAGAGAGAGAGAGAGAGAGAGAGAGAGAGAGAGAGAGAGAGAGAGAGAGAGAGAGAGAGAGAGAGAGAGAGAGAGAGAGAGAGAGAGAGAGAGAGAGAGAATGAGAGAGAGAGAGAGAGTTGGATGGGGTTCATGAGTTATTCTGACTAGTTCCTAAACATAAAAAAATAACACTAGTCTGATCACTCTAGATATGTAGGAGGACCCCTTTTCGTAAGTGCCATAGACGGGGACCATGTAATTGTATCGCACATTATCACTTGACGTCTGAACCAAAGCTCTTCCAGTCTCGCAATAAAGATACGTACAATAAGAAACCGCTTGAATGTCTTTAATTCTGCAATTACTTTTGTAATGACTATATCCCCCTAAATAAACTTGTGTGTCCAAGCAGTAAATTATGAAAGATAAGGTGAGGAAATGGTTATGTTTTGCAATGGTACTGCATCATTCATAATACCTTTGAATGTAAATTTCACTCCTGTTAAGAATATAGACTACTTTAACTGAAAGAAAATTGATGCAGTAGCCCTTAACACAAAAAAGTAACATAATACTTGATCTGATCACATGTCGTCTAACGTACACCACTTGCATTACAGGTAGTTAACTTCTGCACCAGCGAAACCCACGTGGCCGATGTTCCTACAAAACATAACCTTCTGTGCGAAAAAAGGAGCACTTGGGATGTTATAAAGGATCATTCAGATATTACTGGCACGTGAGTAAACAGATTGCCTGATTTTAATTACAGGAGTTTATTTTAACATCATAGAAAGTATGGGAAAGTTAGTTTCAGTGATGTAGAACAGAAGTTAAGAGTCCCTAAATGTAGAATGGAATAGATAAGATAACTTTAATGTTTACTATAGCATATGAAGAAGCATTGCAGGCAATGGAATTGCTATAAAATAGTTTAAAAAGTTTATTTATCTACTTTTACTCTTTCTGAAAGACCACAATTCTTAGACATGGACGCGATATCACAACGAATTTTAGAACAGTGATCTCCTTCTCAATTTTTGGAGCTCTGCACTCTAAGAAATCTTTGACTGATATTAATCCAT